GCACAGTCTAGATACAGTCTGTAGGCCCAAGGCATGGTGTTCCTGGAAGGGAACAATGAGGTCAGCAGGGGACAGTTTAGGAAGGGCCCAGAGTGCCAAGCTGCAGAGTCAAAGGCCATAGGGAGCCACTGAAGGCTCTGAGCAGGAAAATGACCCAGTCGAACTTTTGCTTTAGTTGCTCTGGCAGCTGTGCTGGGGCGACTGGAGGAGAGGAGACCATGAGGAGGCTGAAGCCAGGAACGGGTGAGAGAGATGACAGCCCGGGGAGGGAGAGGAAGGCAGACATATTTGGGAGGTGGCACTGACCAGACGGGTGATTGACTATATGGAAGAAAGAGCAGTGAGGACGACTCATGCCCAAGATGCTGGCTCATTGGCTGTGTGAGCTTAGGCAACTCACTTAACTTCTCTGGGTTTTGGTTTCTCGTCTACAAATGGGGATCATAACAGGATTATAACCCTCAGAGGGTTGTAGTGAGGATTAAATGAAATAAAACACGTAAAGTGCTTAGAAGGGTGCCTGGCACACAGCAAGAGCTCAATAAGTAGTAAATGTTATTAGCACTTATTTATCACTCTTAGGATTATCACTATTATTTATTCCTCAACAAATATTTATTGAGCACCTACTATGTGTCCCAAGTTGTTCTGAGGAGACAATAGTGAACAAGATCAACATGGGCCCAACATTCAGGAAGCTGACATGAGGTGGGAATCAGAGAGAAAGACATTTAAGTAGTAAAAAGTTAAATTTACATGAAAATCTCGAATAGTGATAAATATCTACAGACCCTCAGAAGCCAGAGGAAGGAGACAGACAGTTGTCAGAGGTAGGGCAGTGACTTCCCGCGGGAGTCAGGGAAGGCCTCCCTGAGGAGGCAACACAGGATGGGGAGCAGCTGTAGGAGTAAGCTGGTGGCTTCAACTTTGGAGAGGACAAGACTCAGAAGAGAGGGCTCCTGGGAGGCACCTGGTCCTACCTCTCTCCTGGCCCAGCCGCGGGGGCTGAGCGTCCTCCAGGACCCCTTCCGGTGGTCCGGCAGGTGACACAGGGCGGCTGGGCTGGGGGGTGCCCCCAGGGCTGGGCTCAGTGCCCTTTTGCAGGGAGCCTTCCGAATGGAAACTCTGGTTACTGTTCTCATCTGTGGGAGCAAAAGCCAAGAGGGTTGGGCCTGAGGCCCTCAGTCCCCTCACTCAATCCCCACAGCCCCCCAAATTCCAGGATCCCTACATACCATTGAGATCGAGCAGGATGAGAGGGCCACCCCCTCGGGGACTGGCACCCCTGCCCCGACGCTCCCGGCCTCGAGATCTCTCTGCCCCACCACCTGCCCTCCGTCGCTCCTGGGGGTTAGAGAGTAAGGGTCAGAGCCGGCTTTCTAGTTAGCACTTGCAAAGCCCCCACTGTACAAATAAGCAAACTGAGGCACAGAGAAGCAAAAGGCCCTGCATTACGTGACAGAGGTTGTGCACACGAGGTTAGGTCTTGAACTCAGGGATCTGGAGCAGGAAGAAGGGAGAATGGGTGGAGTTGCTAATAATTGTTAACATCTGTTTGGGCTGCTGCATTTGAGGTCTGAGTGGGGACTGGAGATGGAGGCCAGGGTGGGGAGGGGCTTGCCTGCGGTTGCACAGATGCAGGGCCTGGTGTGGGGGAGCTTGCTCACCTCCTCCTGGGGGTCCACCACTGGCACCCACTTGAAGATACGAAGGGAAGTGTCGCCCACAGTCACCCAGCGCTTCTCCCTGTGGGAGGGTGAGGGAATTGGGTCAGAGAGGCCTGAAGAGAGATCCCTCCCAGGAACTGGACACATCTGGGGATACCAGCAGAGGTGTGGGTGGTGCACGAGGGAAGGGGCAGTTTTGCTAATAGGGCATAGTTAGAGGAAGAAAGAGAGCTCTGCAGACCCCAGGACATACATGGGGGTGCTTCTAGAGAGAGGGTATGGCTTGGGGCCATGGCTCTGCAGACCCCTGGGGTATACATAGGGAGCGCGCCACGGGCCGGCTGGAGACCGTAGCAATGAAGATCCCGGGGCATACTTGCGGGAGGAGTGTCAAAGCTTTAGGGGGCGGGGCATATATGGGGGCTCTTGCTCTGGGAGGGCATGGCTGGGGAACACGCTTTGTACACCCCAGGGTGTAGCCAGGAGAAAGGGGACACAGCCCTGTAGATCCAGGACGCGGCTAGGGGGCACACCTAACAACTGGGGGCCACAGCTGGCGAAAGGAGGGTAGACGCATTTGGGGAAGGAGTGGCCCCGCCATGCCCCGTCCCCGGCCCCGGGGCAGCGCTCACCATCTCCGGACCTTCTCGATGGTCGCCATCACCTTCTTGATGTCATCCTTGGCCCGGCTCCGGGTCTCGGCCCGCACGGTCCGGCCGGCCATGCTGGCGGGGCTGGGGCCGAGGCCGAGCCCGCGGCTGGGCCGCCTCCCGTCCGGCGGG